GTTGCTTCTCCTTTTGTTTCTCTGCTTCATTATCTTTCCCAGACGCCTCTGGTTGATCTAGGTGTGGAGGCTTGAAATGTAAGGTAAAACACACCTTTTGGGCCAAGAAACACACACAAGAAGGGAGAGGGAGAGAGGTATAGATATAATATGTATCTATATCTCAAAGGCTGGTTTTTGCTTCTGTTTTTCTAACCTAGAACCAAGAGGAAAGCCTCTCTCTTATAAGGATCCCTCTTGCAAAGCTTATTCAACAAGCTTGGCTAGAGGGAAATCCCTCCATACACGTGTATGGAGGGGAAAGGAGTTGGTGCCAGCTATCACAGCTGGCACAAAATATCTCCAAAAAGTGGAGGAACAGTGGTCGGCTGCCCAAAAAAGCTATTCCGGCAAAAAACAGTGCCGACCGGCAACATATTATGCCGACCGGCAATACAGTGTGCCGACCGGCAAACAAAATTGCCGATGGAAGAAAAAGACCAGCCGGTGGCCTCCAGCCACTGCCGGTGGTGTATGGGGATGTCTCACAAGGCATTCCCTGCCCCTCTAAGGCAAAACAAAAGTGTTTGGTGCAAAACCAGACACTAAACAGCCGAGTTCGGGGATCCTGAGGCAAGGCGCGCGAGCCGAGGCCTCCGGGAACTCCAAACGAACACAAACATGGATGATCACCGAGTGTTCAAACGGTGACGTCCAAGTCTTGAGGACGGTCAAAAATGGGGTGTCTACAGGGAGGTGTTTGTATTGGCCAAAAGGTAAATATCTTTATATCCTGATAAAGAAGTTGGGGTTTAATTCTATTGATAATATTTCTTGAGATTTGCTACATTCCAGGGCCGAGGTATGGCTCTGTCTTTGAGATCCTCTAGGTAGTAAGCTCTATTTCTAGCAACAACTGTGACTTTGTACGGACCTTCCCAGTTTGGCCCAAGTTTGCCTTCGCCAGGCACTCTTTTGTGATCCATAACTTTCCTCAAAACCAATTCTCCAGGTGTGAATTGCCTTGGGAAAACTTTTTGGTTGAAACTCTTGATGAGCTGCTGCTAATATGCTACAAGTCTAATCAGTGCGGCTTCTCTTCGGCCTTCTACCATATCCAGTGCTTGTGCAATAGCTTTCTCATTACTGGTGCTTTCAAACAATTCAGACCGAAGGGTTGGGAGACCTACTTCGAGTGGGATGATGGCCTCCACTCCATAAGTTAGAGAGTAAGGTGTTTCCCCCGTTGAGCGCCGTGCTGTGGTTCGGTAAGCCCATAGTACGTGGGGTAACTCTTTAACCCATTTTCCTTTTGCATGTTCGAGCCGTTTCTTTACTCTATTGATGATGGTTTTGTTTGATGCTTCTGCCTACCCATTACTTTGTGGGTAGCTGTAACAACCCTCATACTGTTTACCGATTAATGACTGATTGATTACCGATAACCATCGATTACCGTTAAACTGAATTGATTATGACTGATGATTGAACTGATTAAAAATACTGAACTGACTGACTGAAAACTGGAACTGAATTGACTGAGTATGTACGTTTGAATTGCATTATATTTGTTTCTCATGACAAACCGCTTTGTGTCCGCTTCTTTGATACTTGCCAGCGCTTCGACTTCAACCCACTTAGTGAAATAGTCGGTTGCAGTAATGAAGAATTGCCTGTTCCCAATGCCTCGTGCCAACGATCCGACAATATCCAGACCCCATTGGGCAAAGGGCCATGGGCTGGTGAGTATAGTGAGAGTTTTGGCTGGCTGATGAATGAGTGGAGCAAACCTCTAACATTTATCGCACTTCTGAACGTACTGCTGTGCATCTTGTTGCATCCGTGGCCACCAGTACCCGTGAGTGAGGGTTCTGTGCGCCAGTGACCTTCCACCAATGTGGCATCCACAAATCCCATCGTGAATTTCGTAGAGAACATTCTCAACCAGATTTGGATGCACACATAAAAGATAAGGGCCAAGATAGGAGCGTCTGTACAGCTTCCCAAATAGTGAGATCCAAAATCGAGCTGACCTATGTCTAACTTTGTTGGCTTCCTTTTTATCTTCGGGGAGAGTACCAGATTTTAGAAAAGCAAGTATCGGATCCAGCCAGCTTGGCTCTAGGTTGCTGCAGAGGACTGGAGATGCAATGCTTGGTTCTGGCACGAACTCAACCCAAACTTTTCTAGCATCTTTGGTATCTACTGATGAGCCGAGGCAAGCCAGAGCATCAGCATGGCTGTTTTTGTCCCGACTAATTCGTTCCACACGTATGGATCGAAATTTTTTTAGTAGGTCTTTGGCCTTGCCTGCATACATGGCCATTCTTTCGTCTCGTGTTTCATAAACCCCAGAAAGCTGGTTTACCACCAGTTGTGAGTCACTGAAAACAAGAAGTTGTTCTGCACTAAAGTGTTCAGCACTGCGTAAGCCAGCCAACAATGCTTTGTATTCCGCCTCATTATTAGAAGCCTTCCAACCGAGCCTCAGAGCCTACTCCCAAATAAATCCCTCTGGTGAGATAAGTACTACTCCTGCCCCTGAGCCTCGGTTATTGGATGATCCGTCGACATAAAGCTGCCAGATGTTACCAATAAAGAGTTTCCATGCTTCCGAAGCGCAATGTTTTCCCTGTTCGGTGGTGCGTGGCATCTGTGCCGAATTGGGACTCCCTGGCTCGGTATTCTGGGTGGGAGCAAATTCTGTAACAAAATCTGCTAAGACCTGGGCCTTGATTGCTGTCCTGGGTTGATACCAAATGTCAAACTCACCAAGTTCTACCGCCCATTTTGCTATTCGGTCAAAGAAATCAGCTCGATTGAATATAGATCTGAGGGGAATTCAGTGAGGACATTGATGGTATGCCCCTGGAACTAGTGTTGTAACTTTCTCGAAACGATAAGCAGCACGTAAGCTAACTTTTCCAAGGGTAGATACCGTGTCTCGGCATCTAGTAAAGTCTTGCTAGCATAATATACTGGCCTCTGTTCCTTGTTAACTTCTCAAATTAATATTGTGCTTACAGCGTGATCTAAGACTGCTAGACATAGGTACAGCTCCTCTCCTAGTTCTGGAGTGAATAGAAGAGGTGGTGTGCTGAGGTATCTTTTGAGACTTTGCAATGCTTCGGTACACTCGGAACTCCACTCAAATGCTGCCTTTTTTCTCAACAGCTGGAAAAAAGGCTTCATCCGGTCTGAAGACTTGTTGATGAACCAATTGAGGGCGGCCGCAATTCCGGCCAGCTTCTGTAGCTCTTTAGCCTTCGTTGGCACTTCAAGCTCTTGTATTGCTTTGATTTGATCTGGATTTGCTTCGATTCCTCTGTGGATGACCATATATCCCAAGAACTTCCCTATTCCTTCCCCGAAAGCGCATTTCGAGGCATTAAGGCGAAGCTAATGGTCCTTCAGGATACCAAAGACTTCTTTTAAGTCTGCAAGATGGTTTGTAGAGAGTTTGCTTTTTACTACCATATCATCTATACATGTTTCCATGGTTTTTCCGAGTTGGTCCTTGAACATTCAGGTAATCATTCGCTAGTAGGTTGCTTCGACGTTCTTAAGGCTGAACGGCATTACTTTGTAGCAATAAATGCCCCTTGGAGTAATAAATGTTGCCTTCTCTTGGTTCGGACCGAACAATGGTATTTGGTGAGAACCGCTATAAGCGTCCAGAAAGCTCATGCCCTGTTGTTGAGTTGACCAGTTGGTCAATGCGAGGCAGAGGAAAACTATCCTTGGAACAAGCTTTGTTTAGGCAGGCGAAGTCAACGCAGACCTTCTATTTTGCGTTCTTCTTTTTTACTACAACTGTGTTGGAGAGCCATTGTGGGTACTGAACTTCTCTGATCGCTCCCGAAGCTAGGAGGTTTTTGACTTCGGCAATTACTGCTTCAGTGTGCTCAACTGAGGATCTCCGACTTTTCTGTACGACAGGCCGAGTGGAAGGGTTGATGTTTAGTTTGTGGCAAGCAAATTCTGGGTTTAGTCCTAAAGTGTCGTATGCTGACCATGCGAATACCTCCATATTTTCCCTCAGCAGTTGAAGCAGCTGAAGTTTCTCATCAGCGCCCAGCGAGGTACCGATAAGGAAGTACTTTTCTGAGTCATCCTCCTTTACCAGGACTTTCTCCAAATCCTCTGCTATCTTTTCCTCTAGGGCTCCCCCTATATCTTCCAAGACTGGTTGTTCGGCTACTTCCACTATCTGTACACGGTTGCAGAGTTGCTTTGCCTTTAATGCCGCCATGAAGCAATGTTTGGATGCAACTTGATCCCCTGAGATCTGCTCTACTCCGTGTTCTGTTGGGAAACGGATGAGCTGGTGGTAGGTTAAAGGGACCGCCTCCATTTGATGGATCCATGGACGGCCAAGTATTGCGTTTTAAGGGGATGGTGTATTAATAACTAGAAACTCTATCTGGAGGGTTTTTGTTCCTACCACAACTGGCAACACTATTCTACCAAGGGGCCATTCTGGCTGTGAATTGAAGCCAACTAACGGAGCTATCGCTGGGGTGAGGTGCTGCTCGGAGAGACCAAGCTTTCTGAACAAGTCATAATACAATATCTCTGTTGCACTGCCTTGATCTACCAGGACTCGTTTTACGTCAAACCGTTTCCCAATTCCCACAGTTATAATCAGTGCATCAGTATGTGGGTGTTGTATGCCTTCTAAATCCTTTCTAATAAATGAAACAGTGCACAAGGGAGATTTGGGTACCGTGTGTACCTTTTTCGATGCAGGCTCTACTGATATAACCTGCTGAATTTGCACAGCCTTAGCAATCTCTTCTTTCAGTGTCTCTTCAGATTCCTGGGTCGCTGTTCCATGGATCACATTTATTATTAGCCGAGGTGGGTGCTCAGTATTCGGTTCTGGTGGTGGGTTCCCCGACTTGGTCACTGCTTTATCCTGATCAATGTAATCCCGGAGGTGTCCAACTGCTACTAAGTCTTCCAAGTGTCGCTTCAGCGCTCTGCAGTTCTGAGTCATATGCCCCCCTATCTTGGTGATAGGTGCATCTGAGCTTTTGATTACGCCAAGCGGGATCTCCCAACATTTTCGGCGGCCAAATAAAGAAGGGCTCCCTTTTGATCTTTTCCAGGATACGATAGATGGGTTCTTTGAATACCGTCACGACTACTTCGTAGGACTTAGACTTATGCACCTCATTCACTGTGAGCCCTCGGTGTTCCCCTCGATCCATTCTCATCTTTACCGTGCTGCTTGTTATGTTGATGCCACCTCGATGGGGATCTGGTCATCCTCAAGGTGAGTGTACTGCTCAATCTTGGCACGTAAATCTTTCAATGCTGCGGCCGGGCGCAGACCATGTTTGAAAGACAAAACAGCCATCTGCTCACTGCAAACGTTTTCCTCTAAGTCATTGTATTCTTCTCAATACCTCCTAGCATAGCTGCACAGCGTTTCTTCTTGCTCCTTTCGGAGACCGAACAGTGTATCCGGCTCTTTCGAGATCTTAGTGTTGGAGACAAACTTGGCTAAGAACTCTTCGGAGAGCTGCTTCCAGTCATAAATTGATCCAGCAAGGAGTCGATCGAACCATTGAAGTCCGGTTTCTCCCAAGCTAGATGGGAAGACTTTGCACATCAGTGCCTCATCTCGACTCCATAAAGACATCATCTGTCTATAATGGCTAATATGCATCAGTAGGTCTAACTTCTCATCGTACGATGTGAACTTTAGGTGGTGAATTTCTTTGGGGGTCTCATGGCCTTAATTTTCGAAGAGAATGGGGAGGAGACAAGACTATCCAGCGCTCGGTGCTCTCTCTGGTGAATGGTACGGTCTAGATGATCCCGACGTTGTTCGTTCTGCTTGTTGCAAATCAGCCAAGTACGAAGGTCTTGAGGAGGGTATGAAGGTCTGTTGGCTAACCGTCTTCTGCCTCTTAGCCCTTCTCTGGCGTGACCCACAGGTGTGGCTACTCGCCGCTTCACTTTGTACCGGGATTGGCTGGCTTTGTTGCCCAAACTCATTTCTGGGGAACTTCTTCACTAGTGGCTCTCTGGATAAGCTCCTCCGTCATAAGCGAGAGGGCTCTGCTTCAGTCTTCTTTTCCATTGGATCACCCAGCACCCTTTTAAGTTGCGCTTTCAGCTCCTGTATCTCCATCCCCATGGAATCTATGATTCGATCTCTGTAATCCTTTTCCAGAAGAAAGTGATAAGAAGAACCTCCAGCAAAGGGTAATCGATGCTCCACGAATTCGGGGGTCTAGTTATTGTTTCCAGTTTGTTCTTCTAGGACTGTTGAGAGTGCCAAGCCTTTGTCTTCTCCGTCTGTGGAGTATGTGTCGAAGGTAGGACGTCCTCAATCCTCATTGCCGGAATTGAGTGCAGAGCTCAGAAACAAAGTGATCCACGCGCACCGCACCAATTATGCATACCGGATACCGCACTAGATGAAAGTGGATCGGGGCTCCGCACTCGGTTGGACTATCTAGGGAATGAGGTCCTTGTAGCAAGAAGCATGGTAAGAGTTGCCCAGCCGGGGTTGGCCGGATAACCCCTCTAGTGTGGGAATCAGTGATCGGAGAAGAAGTGTAGAGAGTTGAGTTTGTAAGTAAGTGGGGTTCAGCTTGGATCAGTCACCTTCAACGTGAAGTTGATGTAGTTTATATAGAGTTCCTTGCTTGTTTTCTAAGTTGGTTTCATGGAGCTCTGGTGCTGCCAAATTTCCTTTTAGCATGGCCCCAGGTGGGGGACCATCTGGTAGTTGTCAAGAGGTGCTTATACTCATTGTAGTCATGTTGATAACAAACTACATTCCTTCGGTTTAACTGTTTTCGTGATTCTAGGTGTAGGGGACCAGCTGAGGTGGCAACTTGCACATGCATATACTCATAGCTTCCATGTTTCTTTGAGAGGTTTCCTCAGCTCGACACCGTTGTACCTCAACACGGCCCTTTGTGTGGCTATTGTTGGGATGGGCTAGCCCATTCAGATATTTGTGTATGGATTCGGCCTACTTTGGTTCTGATGATGGGTTCAACCCATCAGTTCGGCCCATAGAATAGGTCCTGCAGCTCAGCCCTAGTCCAGTATCGTAGCTAGACTGGCCTTTCCACTACGAATTGGGCCCAAGTGCTTAAGGACTTCGGTGGACTGTTAGTAATGGAACTGGGCTTAGTTGGGTTGCCCACATGCTCATCAAACCCATTTGGATTTGGGCTTGGGGGATTGGACCGGCCCAAGGCTTGGGTCCAACCCATTTCTTATTTAGCCCCTTCAAATGTTATAATTATTCCCATGAATTTGCTTTTTGTATTGAGGTTCTAGGAATTTTCATGTATGATTGTTGCTTTGGTTATTAATGCTTCATTTTGGTTGTTAGTGAAAAAAAAAACAAAAAACAAAAAACAAAAAACAAAAAACAAAAACAAAAACAAAAACAAAAACAAAAAGGGAAATGCACAAAACTGAATTGATGAGTTTGACTTGATTTTTTTATGTATAGCTTCCTTTGTCATCTCCTTTGTTGTTGGATAGAAGAAGAAAAAAAAAAAAAGCTTCAACTAAGAAGAGCCAAAATCATCCATGCTCATGTACAGAAAATGGAAAATGAAAAAAGGAGACATAAAGAACATGAAGCTGTGAACTGCTTTTAGTGTTGAGATTGAATTTTTGGTGCCTTAATGTTTGCTGCTGAAATTAAATATTGCTTGATGATGTTGTGAGGTTGATCATCACATTGTTTTTTTGTTGCTGCTGATGTGTTGTTGTCAGTCACCTTTGCCCTATGTTGATCTATTGCCTTTGTTTACTTGGCTTTCGGGATGCCTTATGGCAGTTTGGTGTCATTGGGGTTTAGTGTTGGGCTGCAGGAGTATGGTTTTGTTTTTTTTTTTTTTTATTTTTTTTTTTTTTTTTTTTTTTTTTACTATAGTTGGTTTCTTGCAAAACCACTTTGTTTTCTCTTGGTGGAGCTTACACATGATTTTGCTTTCTTTCAACCTAGTTGGGATGAGATGGATTTGTTATGATGCAATTTTTGCTCCTACTTGTTGGTTTTGTTGCACGTCTCTTTTATCATTAATAAAGTGCTCTCTTGTTTGCTGATCAAAAAAAAAAAAAGAAAAAAAGAGAGAGAATATGATCCTATGCAATTATTATTTTTTATTGTGAGATACTGTATTACCATGAATTGGGTATCACACTCAAGTTAGTTTTGGTTGAAATTTGTGTACAAATAACCTTATGAAATTATTGTATTTTGATGGATTTTATGAGTTTCTTATGCCAAACTCAATTTTATGTCAAATTAGATATTAAATTAATATGTTGCCTTTACTAGTAACATTCCATTACTTCATAATTTTAATAAAATTATTGTTGGGTTTCGCTTTGAGAATACTTCAAATAACACACCATCCCCAGTATTTTGGTTCTTTCTCTTGTTGAACCCACCATGAACACCATTATCCAAATTCGAAATAACAATAGTCAGCACCCTTTACTGTTTTGGGTAGATTTTAAAGTTTCTGAAGTGTTGTCCCAAGGAACAGAGTGGCCACATAATTACATATAGAACATTGACTCTATATAAAATAGATGATCATATGAGATAGAGAGATTTTGGTTTTGATTTTATTTAAGTGCTAAATGTTGATAGAATTTTATATCAAGTGTTTTACCCTTAAGAATAGTACATGTGGTTTTGTGTTTTTATCTACTTGTAGAGTGTTTGTAAATTTTGTTAAATTGTTTGAATATTTTGATGTACTTCAAGAATGACATCATATGTTTTGTTCTTAAACCTACATTGATTTTTCTACTTTCACCATCATTGTTTTTTTTTTCTTTTTCCTAAATTTTGTGTTCCAAGTTTATTTTCTAAAAATCCAACCTCCAATCTTTTTGGTTGATGCTTATTTTCATTCAGGGGGATTTACGATTTTGAAAATGGATATTCTATTTTGGTTTTGTTTTTGTTCAAGAGTTCTATGGTTATTCTAGATTGCATGTGTGCACACATAGTAGCAAGGTGGGTAAGTACAAGGTTAGGTGGGTTTGTGATTTGAGACTTCTCTCTTATTGCCAAAATACTCCTAGCTTTTGCCAAGTCAAATGACTATGAATGGGGAAAAAAAAATGTCCTAAGATTCAACGAGGAAACTTAACTCGGGCAATTATGTTTATTCACTAAAAGAATTACCGCAGAAATGACAAGCCTTATAGAAATTGGAATTTAGAAACATATTTTGTGAACTATTATTAGATTGGTCTTATATGTTTGCTTGGTTCAGTACTAGCTGAGAAAAAGGGAATGTGAACTATAATTGTAGTTTCCAATTTCTGACAAATAGATTTTTTTTTTAATTATTAAATTTTTTAAAGAGCTTAATGTACTCCCTTTAAAATCTACTTTTCAATGTTACATAAACAAATTCTCTAAAACTAACCCCAGGGCATTCCTTATCAAAGATTTCCATCAAACTAGAAAGGAGATAAACATTACTCATTACATTACTCAAGTCACCGGCGGACCCAAGGAGTGGCTAGGGTTAACCATGGCACCTACGATCATTTCAAAAATCATAATTAATTATATTTATTTGCTTTGAAGTCTATAATTTGCTCTTAAGTCTCCTAGCTACGATATGTCTTCACATTTATATTAAAAATCATTTTACTAGCTTCAAGTGCCATGTACTAACTCACATCTTCACTTGTTGTTGCCGTTTGTCGTAGGTCCGCAATTTCTTATTCTTCAAATACAGGCAAAGGTATAATTTTTTTTAGTTCCCATGAGCTACTAGCGGGTGTGCTTTTTACTCTTTTATGTATATAGTGTTCTCATTAGGGAGCTATACTATGTAGAGCACTATCGGGTATGCTAAAATTCTTTTTTGTTTGTAATTGATGCTAGAGCACTAGCACGAGTATACTAAAATTTGTTAATTTGATTTTTGTTGATCGTAGAGTATTGGCGGGTGTGCTTTATTTATTTGTTTGCCTTTAATTGGTAGC